GGAAGATGGGAGCTCCAGAGCACGTGACCATCCGACTGATGACTTCAGGGAAACATCCCACCCACACCGCACTCCTCAGAGCCCACCTCCTGGAAGAGGGGAGAGTGACCCACCGCTATGCAGTTTCATCTGCCAACCAGACCTTTCTCCCAGCTTGTTCCCAGGACCTTTTCATCCAGAGTAAGGAGTGGGAGCTTTCAGGGAAGAGCTGAAACACACCTCCCATGGTTAATTCTCCGTGGTTACATGATCTGATATGTGTACACCCTGCTGTTCTAAGGGGTCCTGCAAATGGATCCCTTCGCAAGTCTGCAGTATTCTATGTCCTCTTTTCCTGCCCATCTCTCAGCAGCAACTACACCACCACCACCATCATTTAACAACAAGTAAATTAGGGAAGGGCACATTGCCCGTCTCAGAGTTCTGTGCAATGTTACTGCCAGTCGCCATCCCCCAGGACGGGCTCCTTATTACTGTTTAAAAATGAACCTTGCGGAGCTGGCAGGGGACAGGAGGCAGAGACTGAAGGGGAGATGCACAAACCGGAGCCTTCCATCTCCAACTTCACCCCGGAATCCCCTTCACCTAAACCCACCAGGATTAGAAGATGTTTGCGCCCAAATCGGACCTCAGCCCAGCTACCAAAACTGGGGTGGGAGGCACGGTTGCTGCTTCTTGGAAATTTCCCCAACTTTCACCCTGACAGTCCCTTGCGACGGCCTAGGGGAGAACTTTTTGTTAGGACTCCTTGGATCCTAAACCTGGAGGAGGTGTGAGGCCTTGAGAACAAGGAGAAGCTAGCTCTAAAACCTGAAAGGCCTTTGTCTGGAACCCAGACATCAAATGAGCAAGGGTGCTCCCCGGGCTTTCCAATGCTGCAAACCTAAGCGCCTCTGGCTTGCTTTTTTGTAACACCACGCCCCTCTCCTTTAGGTTTCGCTGCCACCCTGCTTTGGCTCCAGGGTTGCAAAAGCAAAGCGCAATTCAAAAAAAACACGCACATACTCAGACACACACCAACGGCGGCTGGGGAGAGCTGGAAAGACGCAGGAGAGAAGCAGGAGGGAGCATAGAGGGAGCCGTGGGAGCGGGAAGCTGGCAGGGCTCTTCACAACCCCCTTCCCGCTCCACTTCGCCTTGCAGGGCGGGCAGGGGAGCGAGATGCCCTGGAGCGGGTGCCGGACGAAGCTGGCTCTGGGCAGCGTGCTCTGGCCAGAGATCGGAGGAACCGCCAAGGGACGCACGGACTCGAAATAAAACACAGAGAAAGGGAGGGATTCGGAGGACGATTTCCCCGCGGGGAGAGGCTTTCAACCCGCAGTCCCAGGCGACTGCAGGTGAGTGCGAGCTGGGGGGCAAACAGACCCGAAAGTCAGCACACTCGCCAAGCTAAAGGGAAAAAGAAAAAAAACCTAATTTTTTTGTTCTTCATTTTTTCTTTTTCTTACCTTCCGTGCAGCCTCCAGCGCGGCGGGAGGGAAGGTGCGAGGCGCAGATGCCAGGGAGGCCATGGAGAGCCCGGCAGGCCGCGCGGCGCCAAGGGGACTGAGAGGCGCGTGGAGGAGGGCGGTGCCGCGTGGGGCGCGGGGGCGGAAGGGGGCCGCGATGCCATCAGCCTCTCTCTGGTTTCTGCGTCCAGTCTCTTCGGTGACTCGCGTACCCCGCATTGGTACCGCGGTCACTGCGGCTTCGGCCTCAGCCCGCCCACCCCTCAGGGCCTGGACCACGCCCCCGCGCCCCACCCCCACCTCTCCCCCCAACACCCGCGCTTGGTCAGTGTCCCCGGAGCCGCCGCGCTTTTCGGGGGAGGGGGCAGCGTCGACCTCCGAGCGCCGTTGGCAAAGCCTGGGGAGCCACGTTGGGCTGGATGGAACTGGTTCCCCAAGAGGCTCTTCCACCGAAGCCCTTCATCGCCCCCTCCCGGGTTCTGGAATGTAAGGATATTTTTGTATTTTTAATTTGCACGCAGGGCATTTTGTAGGGGTAGCTTTTTTTCAAGTTTCGTGCGTGTGTGTATGTGTGTGTGTCCGCGCGCGTATGTGTGCTGCCCGGCAGCGAGGCTACCTGGAGGCAGGTGCCGAAGTGCCACTATAGGAGTGCCTGCCCCAGGCTGGTGGCTGTGCTCAGGGGGGGATAAGGGTGGTCTCAGACCGATTGCTCCAGAGGAGGTGGAGGAACCAGTGGGGGAGGACTGCTGAGGACAGGCCTGTAAGCTTCCCTCCAAAAGTTCAACTGCATTTTAATTTTCTTTTATCAGAATTTTCTCTATTTTTATATTCATGAATATACATTAAATATATATGTATATATGTGTCTATGCATATAGACTTAATATGTAAGATATTTTTGTCAGTTTCCAGGTTCATTCAAAGTTCTCTCCTGACTGATGTATGCCTTTGTGATAGTGTTTGTTATTCCCTTAACTATAGGACTTGACTAAATGATTACCAGTAATACATTATTGAAGGAGAAATGGCCTATTTTTATTCAGCATAATATTCCATGATTTTGTCAAGACAAATGCACAATAAATTGTTCAGCAACAACTCTTACTGTTCGTATGTCAGCAAGTATGAATCTACTGCAGTGGATTTATCTTGTTGATTATTGTTTTCAAACTGTGCCTTCGGCATTTACAGGAATGCTTTAGAATCCTACCTCTTCATCTTACCATTTTAAGTAATAGGGCATTGGCAAATGTCCAATGCTCAGTGGTGTGCTAAAGGATTCTTTGTAGAGTATTCTCTCAGTGTAAGTTTTCTGACAGAAACTCCAGCTGATGGCCTCACCACATTGACTTAAATATTGTCATGTCCATAATGTGAGATCATAAATATTGACTGAAGAATGAATCATCACTGAAGACCCTCTTCCGTTTATGACATTGACAATGTTTGCTGCAGTGAGAATCCTCACATGTCCAAGTGTCACTGTGTGAGGACTAGGATTCCAACGTGTAATTGACTGAACTGATTCTCCGTTAGGAATTATTTGGTGCAGTCGCAGAGTTTTCTTCTCCAAATAAAGAATGCTTTTCCTTCTTTTGTGTTTTAGAGATTATTCTTACAGTTTTCTTGCATACACCAGGTCTGGAGCTTGGATGAGGGTTCAACCAGAGTGATCACACACCTGTCTTTAATCCAAAATGAGAATGTGTTTTTGTTAAAGTGATAAACAATCAGTGACAGCTTTTTCGCATTGGTTGCAAACAGAGTTTCTCTACCGTGTGAATTACTTGGGATAGTAAAGGTTAGCTCTCTAGCTGGCGCTTTTCTTACATTTGTTACATTTATATGGTTTCTCTAAAGTGTGTTAGATTTTGGTATTTCAGGTCAGTTATGTTCTGTTCAATCCTCAGTTGTTTACCATCTGGTAAAATCATTTCTCTTGAGGGCAGGCGGCATTAAGAAGAATGAAGTGTGGTCCTATTTCAAAATAGTTTCTTTCTCCCCTGCTGGAAGTGAAGCGCATTTTCCCCAGTTTTCAGTGTGAGAACCTGGTAGGAATCCTGAACAAAAAAGGGGGGCCCCCTCCTAATACCATGTCCCCTTACCTCTCAGACTAGTTCACTAAGCCTCCAGCAGTTTGTCAGCTGTGGTTCAAGTTCCTCCCTGGGGTCCGTGGAGGTTTCTGCTTGTGCAGTTTTGCTCTGTTAAATGAGAGTCTTTGTGTCCATCTGTCTGTCTCTCTGTTGGGGGGCTGGCAAATTGCCCTGGACCTAAATTCTCTGAGGCGTCCATGTAACAGGAGGCACTGCTTTTGGTTTGTGTAATTTTTTTACTTGTTGTAGATAGAGTGACAACTTCCAGACTCTACATGCTGAACCAGAGTGAAAAGTCTGAATTGTCCTGTTTGTTCTTTTATTTGCAGAAAGCTTTGCTTTTTT